TATATCAGGCAATTTGTTCGCTTGCATGGTGTGTCGGTGTCTATCATCTCGGATCATGACACTCATTTATAATGCACTTTTGGAGAGCCGTGCAACGTGAGTTGGGCACGCAGGTGAGTTGAGTATAGCATTTCCCCCTCAGACGCATGGGAAGTCCAAGATCATGGAGGATATGTTGAGATCCTGCATTATTGATTTTGGTCTCCAGTGGGATAAGTTTCTATCGTTAGCAGAGTTTTTATACGACAACAGCTACCGGTCGAGTATCTAGATGGCTCCCTAAGAGGTCTTATATGGAAGGCGATGACATTCTCCGGTTAGTTGGTTTGAGCCTAAGAAGGCTAGGTTGTTGGGCACAGATTTAGTTCATGATGCTTTAGAGAAGGTGAAACTGATTCAGGAGCAGCATCGTACAACGCAGTCCAAGCAAAAGAGTTATGCTGATAGGTGACGTATATGCGAGATGACAAGCGTATATTCGGATATCGAGGTTACACTATGTTCCAAGTAGATTCTAGGCTTCTTTATGTTGTGATTGAATGTGTGTTCTTGTTAACTTATGCTCTACTTGATTTCTATAACTACGTGGCACAATTATTAATGATAAAGATCATGCTTTCACTTATGATATCTTATTTGAGCTGATGGGTTGTTCTTGAGATTTATTGATGTACTTGATTTGGCCGTAGACACACGTATATTATGAATACACATATGTACTTGTTATTCTTTTGATATGCCTTAAACTATTGTATAACTACTTGAGTTCCCTTATTCATGTTAGAGATCGTGTTTAGGGTTTGATGCTTAATTGGACATAATATTTATTTGGAGGTTAAATCATATGTCGGGGTCGTAGTCATACATTAGATATAGGTGAACATCATGCTTAGAGATCATCTCTTGTACACGTGCATATATCCCTACATAGTTATTTCTCTAGCCATGTGCATTATATATGCTTATCTCTTATTCATATGCATACATCCCAGCATATAGTTCTTGTATATGGACCGAGAATGACATGTGAGTTGTCAGTGCAGTTGAGATAATTATGGCACCAGGTTTCTGTCGTGCAGTTATTGTGATATTGATATTGAGTACGACATGTGAGTTGTCCGTGTGAGCAGATATTATCATTGGCTCGTGAGTTGTATGTGCAACATATGAGCTGTCCCTGCAGCACTTGGATATGAATTCGTCCCTCCGAGATTAGGTGATTACCCATTATACCTTAGGCCCTGTGAGCGCATTGTGTGAGTGTGTGTATGTGCGCGCGCGCATGTGTGTGAATTGGTATTGATTCTATGGAAAGGATTGAGTCTTGAGCATGCATTGACATCCTAGACTCGTGTAGAAAGATTCATACATATTATTGATATATGTACACTCATGCATTTTAATATGCATGGGACTTTATCATGAGTTGACACTTAGACACATATTGGAGCATTTGCATAAATGCTATTTAGAAATTGCTGGGAAAATGACCTTTATTATGCATCGCCTCTTTGCAATCATGTAAAAGTACTTGAGTTAGAGCTTCTTTTTGCAAATTGTATTGTATGTGGATTTAGTACAATTGTACATGCTTTGATTTGGATATTTGAAAAGCATGCTTACTGCCTTCTTCTTGATTTGAGCACCTTATTATTGATATTCATTGTTCTATGTTTGTTTCCTTGGATACTTCTCTACATTTTATATTCTATTAAGCAGCATAGGTTAGATAAAGTGACTATCTTTTGGACTAAACCTCGTCACTATTTCGTTGAGGTTAATCTTCATACTTACTAAGTACATGGAGTCGATTGTATTCATACTACACTTTTGCACCTTGCATGCATATTTTGGAGTTGAGCTGTTGTGGATGACGAAGGCTAGCATTAACGATGTATTAACATTCTAATTGCAAGCTACCACTTTGTTCATGGTGGTTTAGGACTTGTATTTCTGTTTATGTATATTCCAAACAGATGATGTAATCTTTCTTCATATCAGTATTATATTCCTATTCTTAGTCGCTCATGACTTGCACTGTCAGTCCTTGAAATAATTGTAATAATTTTTACATTCTTATTTTATTATTTATTTGATGATTTTCTGTTTGAGTTGTGTTATATACTTATTGACTTACCTATTGGGAGAGTTAGGTGCCATCATGATATTGGTGCAATTTTGGATTTTGACACTTTGAAAATAAAATATATATTTGGACTTAGAAGGTTATGGGTAACCGGAATTTGGTCTTGGTTGTGGGTTTTAACCATGTTGGCCCGGGTTGACCTTTATTTACTTTTTTAGAATTCTTCAAAGATGGAATCTTTATTGATTTGAATTGCTTCATTTAGCATTGTTTGACTTCATTGATGATATTTGGCTAGATTTTGGGCAACTGAAGGCCAAGAACAAAGGCAATGGCGTGACTTAGGATTGAGGACTAGTTTGGATAAGGTAATTATCTTGTTTAACCTCGACTTTAGGGGATATTTTCTAATAAATGACCTTCTATGAATTTGTGAGGTGTTATATTATCTCCCCCTTGTTCGTCCTTGAATGTGAATAATTGCCTAAAATTTGACTAACTCCCAAAATTGTATAAGAATTTCGCCAGAGTTTCCTGGAGTTATCCCCAAGAACACTCTTTCTCGTTATAACCATAACCAACCACATGCAAGCTCCAACAAGAAGTCACATAATACAATTATTCACACACTCATAAACATGCAATTCAAACCTATCACTACATTAACTTCATTACTTCTTTGTAGCAAAAGCTACCCTATAATTTCTTGTTTCTCGAATATCTCTACAACCAAAAAGCATACATGCTTCGACAAGGAGGCACACAATACATCAATCTAAACACTACACTCTGGAAAAGAGGCTAATTCAACAATACCTAATTCAAGCCTAACTTACATTACTTCCATTGCTCATTAAATTTAGAAAGAACAAGCATACTTGTAATTGCCAATAAGAGGGAGTATCTACTCTTTCATGTATTTCGCTTTCTTTCTCTATAGTAGCTTCTCCGAATATTAATTTTGTCTAACATAATATTCTTTTGCTCTTAACACTATACAACCTCCCACATCACTTTTAATCTTATTACAACTATATGTAGGTATTGTACTACTATATTTCATATAACAAAGGCTTTTTAAATAGTATAAATTTTGAAATTACTTGGGGTATATTGCTTACCATGCTCTTGGTCATAGGCCTCTTTGCAAAATTTTATAACTCTATTGACCTACTCTTTAAGGCTAGATACTCTATTACATCTTGCCCTTAGGCCCTTGTTCTCTAATTTCTTTAGGACCATCATAATCTCACTAGTCATAGCAAAAACAACATTACGTTCTAGAAACAAAAATATATATGATTTCTCATATGGTTTCTTTGAGAAATTTATAACTACCTTCAATATATACTATCTTTGTTGCATAATTATTTGGCCTTAAACCAAATACATTAATATTCATAACATGATATAAGCATGTTCCTCGACTTCATTAGTTATCTGCAATATTTTCGTCACCCTTAATATGCAAAATTTATTTAATCTTTGTTCTATCACATTTCAACTTGGATCTTAAGACCACCATTCAAATATACTTAGTGTTTCCCACTTATTGCAACTCCCGAATATTAATTTAGACACCCATAGTATTTAAAAGCTTAACATCTCATTTTATAACACTATACCTTCTCAGGGCATACCATCCTACTATTGTAACTCTTAAGGTTTCATCTTCATCTAATGCCTTAACCTTCATTCACTTATTCATAAAAAATTTACATATATCATACACCTTCACACATATCATTGATTATTGATTTAAGTTCTTGTATCCTCCATATCTCCTGAAATGCTTAAGTTACCTTGCTTCAAGTTATTATCCCCTTCTTTAAACTAAGATTCCCCATTGTGAACTAAGTTAATTCATATTTCTATAACCCCCAAAAATGTTCCTCATTTTTTATATATATTTTACCTTGAGAACATAAAGGAGTCATCCCCTTTTCAATTCCTGACTACTTTATCCTCTTGCTCATGCCTTGTGCTTGATCTTCTTTATAATCAACACTACAATGACAGACCATCATAATATTTCACCCTAGTTTTGAGTATACTCCAAGTCTTATAACTTATTTACAACATTTAAAAAAATTCTAATCAAAACTCATTTGGGCTAATAATATCTAAGCACAGTATGATAAAATTCATTACATTAAAATAGTTGCACCAATGCGTCGGTTGGGTTCTATCTCGGTAAGTGCATATCATAAATTAAGCTATACTATAAGCAAAGCCTCATCACGTATCGTAATAAACAAATAATATAATATAAGGAACCACCACCACTAATCTCACGTTATGAGCAAGCTCCAAAATAGAATACAGTGCAAAGTTCTTGAGTTGGTCTCAAAATAGAATATTGAGGAGCTTACTACTAAAAAATTCTATGGTCCTCATTTGACAAATAAAATATAATAGTATTAGATTTTCCAAAAGGTAACTACTAATAAGTAGGGCAAGAAGGAAAGAATATAAGTGTTAATACCTTAAATTTTGAATGCAACACTCAAATAGGCTTCTCTGTACTTGCTGCTACGAAATATCCCCAAATCTCATTACCTCTTTGTCAATACCTAAGGACGTGGCTATCTCATTCTTCACCTAATAAATCAACGGCACTCAGCTACATACTCCTACCCATCACTATCTCATCTTTTAGCTACTACATCCCCTTTTTTCTTGGTTGACGTTGTGACTGTCGCTTTGGAAACCTTATCCATCTTAAGGTATACCAAGATTTCGGGACAACTTTTCCTGTAATTAGGTCATTGCCATTTTCCTTATACATGTGTCAAAAACATCAACAACCACACCCTACAATCATCATATATACACCAAACACCTACTATTGAATTCCAAGCGACTTTGCATCATCCATCACACTATACATGCATTACAACCAATATGCACTTCATAGTACCAATGCTCACTTGTTTAGCAGCTGCATCACAAGTCTATAATATTTTTGCATATGTCAAAATGATCTTAAAGAGAAGTTCAATCTCTACAGTACAATATAGAATCAAGAAGAGTAAGAAACACCTATAATGTCCTGGTAGTCATTCATCCATATAGTTGGCCAGTCTGCATCAAGAGTACCTTGGTAGACACAGCTCCACAGACAATCCAAGGGCACTTCTAATCCTAGAGCTCCGTTACCAAGCTTGTTACCCCCAAAGCGCAACATGCATCTGATGCTAAGGAACCACACCGAAAGCACTTTATAAGATAGATGTTACGACACTTGCCCCTTGTTCAGTTGATAAATCACTAAACATTAAGCATGATAAAATTACGTCTAAGTAAATTAATCTTAGTTAAATTTAATAATTCAAAAATCTTGAAAACAAACAAAGCAATGACTTGCACAATACTTCTCACAGTTTGACCATTATTAATGGAGATTCTAAGAGAAATAATATTAATCAGGACACAATGCGAAACTATTAAGAATTAATAAACGACTCAATGGAGCCCCACGAATAAGGATGTGGGCTCACCAACAACTTGAAAGCAACAAGTACTCCTACCTCACTCGATCTGCATGTACCTGCTCTACTTTGTTGCCTAACATACCATCAAAAACAATAATAGTATGTCTGAGTACTGGTACTCAGTGAATGTCTAGGAGTAAGTGCTCATATCAATAAAGTAAGTACAGAGTGTAGAATGAAACAGTTCAAATCAAATAAGTGCAGTAAATCATGTGCTCAGCAAGAATCAACAATAATGAGATACTAGGGTTCCAATTCATCGTGTTCAGATATCATATCATGCCCATACATGCCCAAATAAATCGCCGCCAATCAAGGCTCATGTTTTGCCCATACATGCCTGAATAAATCGCCGCCAATCAAGGCTCGTGTTTTGCCGATACAGACCTGGTACCATTGCCAACCAAGGCTCAATTCCATTACCCATACATGCCCAAGTAAACCGCCCATACAGGCCCAAATAGATTTCTCATACAAGCCCAAACATGTTTTGTTTTTATCATGTGTGTCTTTTTATAAATCATGGCATAGTAGCCAATTCATTCATGTTCGTTATTCCTTTATCAAGTAAATCTCGAAAATTCGTGTTTTAGTTCAGGAAATCATACAAAAACCAATAGTTCAAAGACATGCTTCGATTTAACCAAATCACGTTCATAAGCGTTATGCTAATTCAAGTTCAATAACCCATGAATAGGATGTATCATATATGCATACACCTTTGTAGTGAAAATGTATGTTCAAGGAGACATACCGTAAATTCTTCCAAATTAATTCAAAAAAATCTCCAATGCTCGAGCAATTACTCTACTTACAAGGGGAGTGATAAAGATCAAAGCTTTATCAAAATTCTAGGTTTCTATCTCTTTTTCCAAAAACTAGGGTTTCATACCTAGAACTACGTTCATCATGATTTAGATCAATACCCAAAAACAATTAATGATGAGAATCTCCCCTTTACCCTTCCCAATCAATTATAATTGCTAAGAAAGGTTAAAGTTCTTACCTTTGAAGAAAATACAAAAATTCCACCTGAATTGCATTTTGTTGGAATTGTTTACAATTTAGGAATTTGGAAGATAATTTGGTGTCAATCATTGTTAGTTTGATGTAATAATCAATGGAATTGAGCAGGAACTCACCTTGTATTATTTGGGAAAGCTCTAGGATATTTTTCTCCTCAAAATGTTGGCCAAAACGAAATAGGATTTGAAATCCCGAAAATTCTTGTATTTATAGATTACTATTAGTTTTGACACGCGGCTACAACATACGGTGTGTATATTGGACATACGGTCCGTATGTTGATCGTATGTCAACTCCTTAAGCCTAGGGTGGTGTATATACGTTGGATATACCTCAGATATATGGTTGGTATACAGATTGTATGTTGAATATACGACTCGTATGTTGAAATTGCGGCCCATGTATTGCCTCTGTATGCCAAATTTAGATATTTTAAATTTTCAATACTTTTGGTGCTTTCACCTATGATACTACATACAGACCGATGTCTGATGTGCGGCCCGTAAGTGGTCATCCTATGCCAACTCCTGAGACCTTAAAATGTGTTGGAAATTTTACCTCCTATAGCAAAGGTTGATACCTTATTTATTATAAATAAATACCCTTTTAAAAAATTAACTCATATAGCTACCTTTTAATTTTTATAGCAAAATATCTATTTATGGCCACTTCCTACCTTTAAGCCATTAAATACGATGTGTATTATTTTTCCCTCTCCCTCTCTCTTCCCTCTCTCCTCCTTTCTCTTTCCTCTTTCTTCTCTTTTTCCCCCAGTTTTTTCCTCTCCTGCTTTTAGAAACCCTAGCAGGGGCTGTGTTCCGCCAACGACAGATCCGTCCAGCGACCACTTCTCCCCTTCCTTGTTGTGTCACCCCTAACCCCCTCCTCCGGAAGGCGATTTCTTTCACACATTTGTGTTACACATTCTAAATTATTCTTAGATTTTACATTGATGGTTCATGTTTGCCTTGTGAGATCTGAAGAAGTTCTCTCTCTAGTTTCTGTTTGATTCTTTAAATTGGTGCTTCTTCAACAATTATCTTCATTTAACCGGTGGCGAGGCAGCTTTGTAATACGTGTTATATGTCTAAGGGCTACACCTTGAGGGTTTTGAGATGGCGAGAAAGATTTGCATGAGATGCAAGGGGAACATGGAAGCTTGATCACTATCTTGGGTGTATTACTGTATTAACGTATGGATGTATCGCTGGACCTATTCATGAGTAGGGTGGAACATATTCTTACATCTTGTGGACGAGTGTAGACTCGGGAGGATCAATTGATTACATAGAGGTTGCAACCATGGCAGTGTTATAGAAGGAGGTTGCGTTGGGGATAAACATGTGGGCTATCGTATGTGAGAAGGTTCAAGGTTTTATGATCTCTTAAGGGGTTCTTATGAAGAGTTCTCTTCCATTCAGTGGAATGTATGTACTTTGACGAGTTTGGATCTCTTGAGGAAGATGGCATGACTGTCCTAAGGATAAGTATGCATTTGGAGGATAATTTGGAATGTGTTATGACTGGTGTTGCATGAACTTATGAGAAATTTAGCTAAGTAAAAATGCAAGGTCATGGTAGTTAAAAGGAGAAGTGATTATAGATTCTCGGATGATGTGATTATGGATTTGAGCTAAGTGGAGGAGTCTACCATCAACGACCAGATTACATAGGCATGTGTTATTGTAGTTCCTAGAATAAGGTAAGTTTAGGGGCTAGTTATGACTTGGGCAAGGAATGTCATAACCCCAAATTCCCACCTTAGGATGTTGTTATGGCACCTAGTCTCTAAGACTAGGTAAGCCTAAAATTCACTGATAGCTTAATAGAAATAACAAGCTAAGATAATAAAATAAACCGATAAGACTCATAATAAATCCAAAACAGAACACCAATAACCAAATCCCCAAAATCGGTGGAACTGAGTCATAAGCTCTACAGAATGTACTAAAATCTCTAATACAACATTGTCTGGTAATAGGATAAATAACAGTAATGGAAATAACGGAAGGTGACTCCGAGACCTACGAGCGTCGAGCAGATATACCTTGAAGCCTCCAGAAATAACTTAACGATCACTGGTGTCCAGCATGGACAAATGTACTTAGATCTGCACAAAAATGTGCAGAAGCGTAGCATGACTACACCACAACGGTACCCAGTAAGTATCAAGCCTAGCCTCGGTAGAGTAGTGACGAGGCCAGGTCAAGACACCTACAAGGACTAGAAAATTGAACAAAATATAGTATAGTCAAATAATGGAAAGCGAGGAAATGAATGACAATAAAGCATTTCAATAATGTAAGCTAACAACGGAAGTTAAAGCAATAGAGGCAACAAAGAGTGAACACGTGATAAGAACAACAAGAAATCAATACGGACAAATACAAGTAAGGAATATGAAGAGATAAAAAAATTGTTCAATCAACAAGCCTCTTTAACGTAGAATGTACAACAAGAATCACAAACGAGGTGCCACACCTCACAGTCTCATTTCACAAGTCACAATCACAATTTTTCCTTATATCATCGCGTGAGCCTTGCATTTATTTTTAAAACATTTTTCCGAAATAGCTACACGCATTTTAGCCCTCTTATCTCACCGCGTGGCTTCGAGTAATTTCCTTACTAGCAACGCGTATATAAATCCCACCTTATCTCACTACATGCGTATCAACCCCTATCCTTATACCACCGCATACATATCTATATCACAACACAATAATTAACTCGCACCACACGTGCCAATATGCCACAATATTTGCCAAAATCAACATTACCAATGTCAGCACATCGTATAGCCCATGGCTCAACCATAATGTGTACAAGAGTCTCAATAATAGCAAAATGAATGAGAAATACTCAACAAGGAAAGATATCTCAAAAATCAACAACTTCAACCTCAATGTGATAATGGCTTTGACAACTTCAACATCAAGAGCCCAATAAGAAGATATTCCCACGAAATAATAACTTCAGGTAAGAGTAATTCAACAATAAAAGAAGTAACGAGATAATAAGAGAGGTAACAACTCCAACTAAAGCATATAAGAGCAATTACAACAATAAAAGATAGAACAAGTGCTAACAAAATCAGATAGAGCATGTTAGAGTAAATTTAACAATGAAAGATATAACATGTTATAACAAGTTCAATTAAATGCATGGAAGCAGTCTAATAGTCTAAACCAGTCAAAATACCACATATAGACCGTGTATATACTCGTCACCTCATATACACGTCTTCCACATAGTACAAATAACACAATAAATCCAAATCCTAAGGAGTAGTTCCCCCACACAAAGTTAGGCAAGATACTTACCTCAACTAGACCAAATCAACACTCAAAAATATCCTTTCCCTTAAAATCTGCCTCTGCACAGCTCAAATCTAACAAAAAATGACTTAATAACGTCAAACAGTGCAAGAGAAACCAATTACGATAGATAAAGCTATGATCCTTACACAATTCCCCAAAAGTAAACAAAAGTCAATATCAGGCTCGCCCGGTCGAACCCCGGGTCCAAGGGTAGATTCCAACTGCCCATAACCCCATAAGTCTATATATGTATTCTGTTTTCAAATCTTAGTCCAATTGACTCTCCAAAACCCAAATTTACATTTTTTAAAACTTAAACAAAAATTCCTAAAATCTCCCTTTTAATCTCAAAATTTGATGTTAAATCTCATATATAATCATGAAACATAGTTGGAATTTTATTAAAACTACTTACCCAATGATTGTAGATGAAAATTCCCTCTCAGAGACGTCTCATACCGAGTCTAGGGTTCTACAATGAGAGAAATGAGATGAAATCCTGACTTCCCAGCCTTTTGTTTAGTTGCAGATGTCATCGCGAACCCTGAAAATTGCGAAGAAAATCTTGCAATTGCGGCTGCTAGCAAGCCCAGGAGATGTCGCAATTGCGGCACAGACTTCGCAAATGCGAAGTCTGTCCTCCTTGTAAATGCGATCAATTTATCGCAAATGCGAACTAACCCATCTAAGCCTAGACTTTGCAAATGTGAACAAGGTATCGCAATTGCGATACTCGAGCCCCCTTGTCATTTTCGCAATTGCGATGCTGATGCTCGCAATTGCGATGTTGATGCTCGCAATTGCGATAACTGCAACACCAGCACACCAACAACATGTATTTGAGTCCAAACCTTTCCGAAACACTATCGAAACTCACCCGAACCCTCGGAGCTCCAAACCAAACATCCACACAAGTCTAAAAATATCTTACGAACTCTCTCGCGCGACATAACACAAAAATAATATCTAAAACTACGAATTAGACACCAAAGCGCATGAATTTTAAAGAAAAGTTCAAGAATTCTCTAGATTGCAACCAAGCGTCTGAATCCTATCAAATCAACTCCAAATGACACCAAATTTTGCAGACTAGTTCCAAATAGCAAAACGGACCTATTCCAAATCCCAAAACCTAATTCCGAACCCGATAGACAAAAAGTCAACCTATAATCAAACTTGGGAAAACTTTTAAACCTCAAATTGCCAACTTTCGGTAAAACATGTCAATTCAACCTAGGGACCTCCCAATTCAATTTCGGGCATACGCCCAAGTCCAAAATCACGATACGAACCTATCAGAGCCATCAAATCACCATTTTGGGGTCTTGTCACAAAATTCAAACCTTGGTCAACATTTTCAACTTAGGCTTCTAAACCAAGAGCCAAAGGGTCCAAATCAACCCAAAACCTTCCCGGAACGAAACTAACCAACCCTGCAAGTCATAAAACTACAAGTACACATGTTAGAAGCATCAAAAGGGAAAACGGGGCACAAATACACAAAATAACTGATCGGGTCGTTATATTCTCCCCTCTTAAAATGAACGTTCGTCCTCGAACATGCATACGGACATACCTAAAGTGGCGAAAAGGTGAGGATAACTACATCGCATATCGTGCTTGGTCACCCAGGTCGCCTCCTCGACCGGATGATGCCTCTATTAGACCTTCATTGAAGCAATGTTCTTTGATCTCAATTTTCGAACCTTCCTGTCCAAGATAGGCACCGGATACAACACTGTCTGGTAATAGGATAACATCTCTAATTGATCGGATACAACACTTTGGAACTGAGTCATAAGCTCTACAAAATGTACTAACATCTCTAATACAAC